CTTAAATCCAGTTGTATCTGCCAAGTCAATATTGCAATATTGCAGTATTTCACAGTAAAACCGTTTTCTAACTAGATTGTAAATTCCCCAAAGACAACAGTAATGTAAAAAAATTCTGAAAACTTACAGAATCTACTTTTGTCCTGTTATTGTTTATTAGTTGCCATTAGAGTAGATATTCATGGTGACCCTGTGTGTGAAGTTGAGCTTGCTCCATAGGATTTTCAAACCTGTGACTTTTTGAAAGCAGAATGTCTTCAAAGGACATGGGTAGGTTCAAACCCTGAAACTTTCGACTAGGAGTCAGCAGTCAAACTTTCATGCTGCTCAGACCCCACCTTTTGCTAGGATCCTTCATTATTGCTTGCTAGATTATAGTGAGCATTTTTGTTCAGAAATAACAGTTTCCTTTTTTATTAAGAAACTAAAATAATGTAAGAAAAAATGTTCTACCTGTGCCCTTTTAATTTAGGAAAGAAGTAGAAATACTTGCATGAAACATTAATTTCATTCTTTAGAATTTTTTATTGGCACGAATTTGAAGGAACAATATAGTTCCCAGTTCTTAAGTACCAGCAACTGAAAAAGGTCTGTCTAATTGTTAATGGGGGAGTCCGGTGTGGTGCTATGGGTTGATGTGCTGGGCTGCAAAGTCAATTTGAACCGTAAGGTCAGCAGTTCAAACTCACCAGCCACTCAGAAACCTTTTACAGGGTCTTTATGTGTCGAAACTGACTCATTGGTACTTAACAACAACAACAGTTGTTAATGAGAGTCATGGTGTGGTGCTGTAGGATAAGCACTGAACCACTAGATTGCTTTGAACTGCAAGGTTGGCAGTTCAAACTCACCAGCTGCTCCTCGGGAACGCTATATGAGTCTCTGAGTCAGAACCGGAACTGACTCAATGGCACTTAACAATGGTTAACGGAGCTCTGGTAGCGTAGTGGTTACGAATCGGGCTGCGAACCTTAAGGTCAGCGGTTCGAAAGTACCAGCCGCTCCACTGGAGAAAGATGAGGCTTTCTACTCCCGTAAAGATTTACACCCTCGGAAACCCTGTACAGGGTCGCTATGGGTCGGACCCGACTGGATGGCACTTAACAACAACAACAACAATCTAACCTGTGAACAGAGGGGATAGCATTGATACTTGATGTGAAGACTCCTTCCCTTTCAGTTGGTATTTAGAGATAG